AAAAAAAAAAAACTTTTTTGCAACATTTTAATTAAAAATTTAGGTAGATTCGCTAAGTACATTTCGCTCAGAAATGTTATCGCTCGTCAATCATGATTCAAGATTTTCTCTGCAAAAAACAGCTGATGTAGCAAATTTGGCTGATCAAATGAAGAAGTTTCGTGAATTGAAATTTATAAAACATGAAAGCCAGTTTTGGCCTGAACGCTATATAGCTTGGTCGGAAGGCTATAACTGTGTTTCTGGAATGGTAAGTTTTGGAACCGTGGTTGACCCTTATAGTTACCAAACTAGAAATTTTACTTCAAGTCTTCTTTTTTTTACAAAATACTGTATCTCTCAAATTTTAGAGGTTTTTAAACTCACTCTAATCTTAAAAAATACTTGTTCCTTTGCAGCACTACCGTAAGACCCACTTTTCTTGGTGACTGTGTTACAGTTTTTTTTAATTTCAGGTGTGCTGCAACAAAAATCATGAAACTTTTAATGATTCAAATACCGATTATTGTATTCGTTTATCTACCTCACAACTATACACACAGTATAATGATACCCCAATTTATGATAACACCACATTTGAACTTGTCGGTTACACAGCATCTCTACCGACAAAACTTACTTATTCACATCGTTATGCCAACCTAACGCACTCGTTCGACCTACTGAGAGAATCATTTGGAAATTTAAATGGTTAGTTTATAATGATGATTATTGTTAAATTTTATGCTTAATTTTACAGCTGCTTTTATATGAGTAACAAAAAAGTTAACAGTTTTGGAGTTGTTATACTACGTTTTGATGGAAACTAATCGCCGTCTATTAATCTCAAATTTAATTAAGGTGGCTTCTATACGTTGGAATGGCCATTAATGTGTATTTGGTACGATTTGTTAACTTCAATACTTTCTGACTGTCGACAATCAGTGATCCTTTCGTTTGCTGTTGTTGCAGTAATGGCGTTAATGCACCTGCATATGATCGCTTTTGCTGCACTGATCACAATATTTTGTATTGTGGTTGTCAGTGTTGGTTAGTTTTTTCCTGCTTAATCAATGAATTATATAAACGGCAATTTAAATGATATTGACGATAGTAGAGAAAAAAGAATGCATGTGAAATTCGAATTATTTCAAATGGATGAATTTTGAATGCTGTTGTTCACTGAGGAAATGACGAAGCCGTATAGTCTTATGGTCCAGAGTAGACAGCGAAAATTTCTGTAACCGATACCATTGTCTTTCAGGTTGTGTTGTCGCAGTTGGATGGGTAATTGGAGTTCTAGAAGCAGTTATATTGGTACTGGTTGTAGGACTTTCTTTTGACTTTACACTTCATTATGGTGCATCTGTTCCACCGAACGGATGTGCCATTCATCGGGTACAAGAAGCTGCTCAAAAATCTGGCGTACCTATTGGATTAGCAGCATTTTCATCAGTTGTCGCTGGTGGTGCAATGTTATTTGCTGAAACGCATGCATTTTTCCAGGTTTGATCTATTTATTGTTTTCAAATCTTCTGTTTTTGTTTTTAAATAAAAAATTGTACATTTTAAGAGTATAAAATTATGAACAATATAATATGAACAATACAACAATCAACTTTTTCTTTCACTAGTTTTTTTTTGTTTAGGTTGGAGTATTTTTGGTGACTTCAACAAGTGTCAGTTGGCTTTTTGCTAGTTTCTTCTTTCTTCCATTACTTTGTTGGCTGTTACCATCGTCAGATGACTGTAAATTGTGTGCCGAAGAAGCATTAGAAGACGATTATACAGATAAATGTACATCATTGTAAACTAATACGAACATGTTTGATAGAGTCATCAAAAAAGAAAAATCTGTCTTTATTTGAAGCTTTAATTTGAAAGAAGTTTTTTTATGAATAATATTTTTATTGATAAATATGTAAAGTTATAATACAAAATTTATATACATATATATGAATATTTTTTGTTCTTTTTTAATGTATAAAGTTGTTTATGTTTGAAACAAATTTGGGGAAAAAAAAGGGAAAAAAAAGAGAAGAAAAAGGAGGAATTATGATTGCTGAATTCACTTAAAATAGGCGAATATAGAAAATCAGGAGAGGAGAAATGGGTGGAGAAGGGCTAAGGATAAGAGGAAATGGCTGAAAGTGATAAGCCATTTTTTTTAGATTATATTTGATTATTTTTGCTGTCTTTTTTTGTAGTTATGTTGTTTTTGGTTAAAAGTCTCTATGTTAAACAAAATAAACATAAAAATAAAAATAAGAAGTCTACAAAAAATTAACATATAAACAAAAATTTTTTTTTTTTTTGTAGTGTGAATTTT